ATATATATATATATATATACTATATATATATCTATAGTATATATTATATATATATATATATATAGTATATATATAGTATATATATATATATATATATATATATATATGTGTGTGTGTATATGTAAGCGTAGCCCTTCATTTTTTACCTTGTCCCTGGTACGGATATGCAGGTACGCCTAAGCTGTGACTTTCATCGGCCCATCGATCAGCGCCTAGACCGTCGCTACCATGGTGACCACGGGCCCCGCTCCGGTTGCTATGGTGACCACCGCCATTGCCATTGGTACCTCTACTAGGTCGTTGTTCACGTGAAGCCGTGCTATAAAAACCATACTTCTCAGCTTGTCCCCCTGGGGACTCTCCGGAGATGTACCTAACACACTCGTCCTCTCTAATATCGACACCACCACCACGGGCTGTATTGTGCTGTTGTGCTCCCTTGCCAGCATTCGTCCCGGTATTCGTCCCGGTATTTAAGTTCCGACCAACGCCCACACCTTTGACGGTATCGGCTGGATGTGGGTCTGTTTCGTCGTCCGTGTGCGTGCGAGTGTATCCCAATTGACCACCTTCCTGAAACTGTGGTGCCTCACCCTCTGTATACAGAGACTCATCGACGCTTTCCGAAGACATATGCGAACGAAGCGGCTGCGTGTGTTGCTGTGTGTGTGTGTAGGGGCCAGTGAGTTTGTTCGGCTGGAAGTACTCGTCCATTTCGTTGCCATGGCGACGGTGTTGCGCGTCTCTAGGCGCACCCGATGTGTAGTACTCGCCGTGTATCTGTTGATGTGGGAAGGGCAGATACAACAAATTATTTTAGGGTTTTAGGATCCTCAAGGTTCGATAGCTTCATGAGTGTCAATTTTGCGAGGCATGATAAAGCCCAAGGAAGACCAGGGCAAATGGTCTCACTCCGTGAAAAAGTGGCAGCGATCGCCAGCTCTGTTGCAGGTGAACATGTACATATTGTGCTTGTCAAATTTATATAGATGGCATCCAACAGTAGGTCTACAAAGACGATACTGAGAACCATAAGGCCATACAAAGGCGACTACGGACGACGAAGACGAGATAGACGACACGCGTGAAAAATAGATAGCCGTAATCATGCCGTGACATATGTGTCTAGCATGGGCCGACAAGCATGTGAAGACACAGGGAGAGTACACATCAAGCAGGACCGTGCAGAATGAAATTTTAGGAAATTAATAAAAATAAATAGTCTAATTTTTACGACCGATACTCACTAATAACTTCGACCAGAGTACTGTGCAGTATTTACAAGCATGTACAATCGTATACTCTAGTCAGCGAACCCTAAACACCCTCCAACGCACTAACTGACGCACAAACTAGGTTTCTTTGGGTGATACTACTGGTGCTATAGTGACATGGACTTCGTCAACCGTGAAGGGAACGCCTTCTGTACATACCGAAGGTGGCGGCAACGATGTAAAATGGTCGTGCGAAGCTGTGTTCTGATACCGATCCAGATTGGTGAGGAACTGCTGACCCGAAAAACCTAGTTTTATTTTATTATTGGAATGGAATGAGATGGAATGGAAAACAATACTGAACTCCAAAGATGGGCTCAAACAAGAAACAGGCCGAGGTCAAAAATGCATATCATGATTTGTACAACGACTATCGGAGTGATGTGTTATATGAGAATGGTATGTGTAAGGGTATGTGCCTCACATGTCGGAGCAGGTATCTCCCGTTGATGTCTTGCCCATACTTCTCTCTAATCAAGCTTCAAGCACTTAGGCTGAAGGGGGAGTGACAAACAATACAGTACAGAATGCGGGCTGTTGTCGACAACGTTGCTGCGTGCGACATCTTTAATCACCAATATCGGAGTGGTGTCTGTATGGAGTAGGCTATGTATATGTCACACATGTTGTAATTTGCACCAAATGTCGCCCTTTCGATCTGCTGCACCATGCGTGTAGTGGTTAAACCCGGTGCTGCGCATAGCATAGAAGGCATACAACAGGGACAGCATGCCTGTTCCGTACAGTACACGTGCGTTGTGTGGATACCACTATTTGTCAGCCGATCGACACATAGGCTGAAAGGAGAGTGGCAGTCTCCAGGAAATATTACAGATTGTTGGCGGGCGGCAGAGGTTGATGTTATACCTTTCAATTTGCCCTCACGGATGATCACGCACCATAAACGCATGTAGAGTCCACCCATTTTTGATACCGATAATTCTATCTATTGCCGATTTAACTATGTATTCTACCCATTACAGATTTTTTCTATATATTCTATCTATTGCAGATTATCTATTTAATCTATCTATTGCAGATTTATCTATATATTCTACCTATTTCAAATTTATCTATGCATGGGCCATGGGACACATAAACTAGCGAACCAGCAACGTACCTGGTACAAAGTGCGGGTTATTGGCGACAAAGTTAATGAAGGACTTCTCCATCTTGCCTCCACTCGTAGTCACAGCACCACCAACCCCTCGAGGCCGTTGCACGCGCAGAGTACTCGAGCTCCTGAAGTGGTGGTGGTCCAAGGCAGATGGAAGAGTAAGAATCTGTGCGTGTAAATGGCCATCTAATACATTTCCTCACAAAACTAGAACCTGTATACTCAACATACTCCTTGGTATATAGCATATTGTCAAGTACAATATCTTTTACACAATACACTTGGGAGGCTCGAAAAGCTGACAGAACCGTGAAGCGAAGTTTGAACTCACTCACCCACTGGGCCCGGAATCAACGTCTACATCGACAGTCGCATCACCGGCAATGCCCCCACTCAGTTTTGAAATTGAGTCGATACTACCGCCGCCACTAATATGATCTGCACGAAAGTAAACCAAATATTCAGATGTGCGCCGAGCTAGCGTTCATATATTTATACACAAACACACACGCACGCTCACACACACACACGCACACACACACACACACATATATACACACAAACATATATATATATATTCTACATACATATATATATATATGTATATATATATATATATATATTAATATATATATATATATATATTATG